TTTTTTTTATTGCATAGAAAAAAAACATTCCTCTTCAGGGCAGTTATAGTCCTTGAAAGAATCTTATCTAAGACCATTGCTGCAGAAAATCCCATCACCTGTGATGATGTGGCCAATAGGGACAGTGTTGCATAGAAGCCCAGGGCTGATATATTGTCATAACCGATACACAGTATATATATAATTCTAATAAGGTCTGGTGCTCATTGCATTTTTGAACTTGTTCTGGTAAGTTCTAGAAAAGAAAAGGTAATCTTATTCTCCTTCATCTCTGAATTTATCTTCTTCCACTTTAATGCAGCACCTTGTGAAGGGCAAGTGAATAAAGGACATGGATGTTGCTGGCTTTTAGGATGGTTGGGGCTGTGCCGGCTCTCATTTTGCCAGAGGGAGATTGCATTGTCAAAGTAATTTCATGTCGTTTTTTGACAACTGACCCTATGTACAAATATAAAATGAGCTCTACAAATAATATTAAAGGGGTTCTAAATCCTCCGTTTTTTTTTTTTGCTTATATCTACTGCTAGCAAGCAGTAGATATAGGCAAGAAGAGCCTTTAATATCACTTTAAGCTTGAACATGACTGGGGCGCTTTTGAAATATGATGGAGCTTATTTAGCGAGCTTTCACTAGTAGGACAATTGTGGTGCTGACGTTTTAAGCATTTCTATAAGAACAAAATGGCAATTGTTTGATACATAGTGCTTTAGAAAACTAAAACTCATTCAGCTAGAGTTTAGATTTACTTGAAAATCAACTAAAATGATTTGTTCCTTTAAATAAGGTGGTACAAAATTCCTTGATTGCTCTGTGAAAAATAATCTTAATAATTTTAGAGTAAAAAAATACAATTCTAATCAACTAGTGGTATCCAGCAAGCCATTCAGTTGAGCTGAAAGTGTATGTAAACTTGAAAGTGTATGCAAAGCAAAACAAAAATACTTGTTCATCTTGTGAGATAAAGTCTTCCTGTTCTCCCAGCTGTCTCTATGGACTACAAAACACCTCATCTCTATGATATTCAGAAGAGAGAAAGAGAGGTTTTCTGTAGTCCTTTCCTAGGGTGACAACACTATACCATAGATACTGTAAAGCTGGCCATGCACTGTGTCGGTTATCGATTAAACGGCTGAAATTAGCACAATGGATGCCCCTGTCGGCACCTTTGCATCCGGCATCCTTTAATCAGAAAATCGAAGGAGCCGGATGGAAACTCTTTGGGCAACCAGTCAGCTGCTATCACTGTCTGAGTATTCAGACAGTTGACTCTAGTCAAAGCTTTCACAGGGCTGTTATCCCACCCTTATCAGACAGTGCTGGGCCAATCACCAAGCACCAAAGATGTCACATGAAAGAAAAAGTAGTGAGTTACATTGTCCTTCGTACCCAATATTTAAGTCTTTACCAGCAACTGAATGTTGTAGCAGGGAAACAAAGGAAAACTAAATATGCGCTGCTGGGTGGCGGGGGGCGGCATTAAATGAAACCATTGCATTCAAACCTTTCATATTTTTATTAAGACCAGCAGGTGACACTCTAGTCTACTTTTCACATTTAACCATCTGTGTTTATTTGCTATGGTAAATAAAGCTTGTTGCATGCAAGGTTCAGAAGCACAGGCTGAAACTTGCAAACACAAGTAAATCAGAGCAAAGGCTCAACCTATAAACTGAGTCACTTGTTATGAACTGCACTTGGAATCCACAGAGGTCACTGGGAGGGTACTTCCGGAATTTTTTTTTTTGTAACTTTCGCTTTTTTTCTTTGCTTCCTCTGTTACCTGTCACCTGAACCATTATAGTGACCCTATAGTCTGTTACTTGTGATGAACTGCACTTAGAACCCACAGAACATTTCACAAGGTCACTGGAAGGGTACTTCCTGAATCTCCCCCTCCCTCTTCTGTTACCAATCACAGTCAGACTTCTAAAGAAAGTCCTGAAACGAATTGGTCCAATATTTAGATATTTTAGTATTTACTTAGGATTTCTGTATAAGAGAGACAGCAAGGAATCTGCAATGGGTGTGTCTGGGAATGTCCCTGTATCACAAGCCGGGGTTCTCAGACTACCAGGTTACTGACCCAAATGCAATGCAGTGGACCAGCTTGCACTACAGTGAAGGCTGGGTGAAAATTCATCTCAGTTTTTTTCTCAGCTTTAAAAGGAATCTACCTTTTACACACTCCCACAATCCTTCACACAGCCTCAGATTTTGTGTTTCGAGGTGACCCACTGATACATGCATGTCACAAAGACATTAAATAAAATACAGGACTTATTCCCCATAGATGCTTACATTGGGTTATGAGTTATGACAGATACCTCCAGATGTATTTCTCCAAATGCTAAGAGCTGCCCTTGCTGAGACCTCTTCCATTAGAAATCCTGTATTCCCTTGCACTCACTCTCATTCAATGAATCACATATCAAGATCATGCTAAGTGCAGTTAGGAGTCTCGGTTTTAAGCGTGACCTGAAATTCCGTCATGCATGCTTGGATTTTGTGACGTTAAGACTTCGACCTTGCTAGTTGTAGTGGCAGAACTCTATTTATAGCGGATGGTTTAGCTATTGGCCACATTTTTCTTTATTTTTATTATCGTCTCAAAGGGCAAATATAATGTATTTACAAGGCATTTGCGTTTTGAGTTATTACCTGAAAGTAATTTAGAGGAGACTTTCACATTTTCACTTGTTTAAAGCAGAACTTCAAGATTTTCAAAAATGAACCCTTCCAGTGGGCTACCCCCACACTGCAAGGGTTAAGTGCTTTTTTTTGTCTAGGGGTGAAAATACAAAAAGAAATACAGAATTCGGCCGAAATTCACACAGTATGTGCTGCTGTCGGCACCCTTCTGATCGGCATCCCTCGATCAACTGATTGAAGGAGCCGGTCGGAAAATCTTTGATCAATCAGAGTCGGCAGCCAATGAGCTGCCTGCTCTGATCGGGTATCCTGACAGGTGCCGGCAGCCGCTGTATGTAAACAACGTGATTACTCGATCAACACGCTGTTAGTGTTGATGGAGGAATTGGGTACATTTTTTGCGTTCAGCCCGCGGGTTGAACAAACAAAATAGATGTATGGCCAGCTTAAGACCCTGTGACGTCATCAAGTCTAATACAGGTCTATTAGACATAAAGACACAGAGGGACATACCATGACCAGAAGGGGAGAGAGGTGAGCAGTCACTGCCCCAGAAGTGCGTGGGTGCAGGGTTAGCAAGGGCTCTTTAAAGATAACCTAATATACACACATTTATACAGCGTGTGTGTGTGTGTATGTGTATATATATATATATCTATATATATATATATATAGATGTATATAGATATATATAATTGTATGTAACCCATTAGCAGCATATCTCTTAACCCAGGCATGCTATTGGTGGTTGTAAATACCTTAGCAGAGCAGATAAAAATAATTTTTGTTTTATCTGGCTTTCTTCATATAAAAAGCAAACAGTTTGTAGCGGGTGTTCCAGAATCCGTACCAGTATCCGAATCCTTCAATTAATGGTGTAATTGACCTCTTTGCCACTAATTGCAGTTGCAGCTTTGTTGCCAGGTGATTGAAAATGATGATTGTACACTTTAATTGGTGAGCATGTTTCCTTTGCAGACCCTTGAGAAGGGAAACAAAACTGGACACGTTGGGTGATAATGAGTGGGAGTGTTTATAATGCTGGCAGTATAAAGATTAGTCAGCGCAGGGCACGCTTGTGTTGTGTATCAGACTATTTATACTGAAAGGTGTCAAGTAGAATATTAAAAGCTGATGTCTTTATGGTTAGCGATTTGTTTTGAGTGGGGTCTTTCTTTTTGATTTTTTTGTTTTCCTGATTCGGTTGGTGCAGTTGTCACCCAAAGCAAAAAAAAATGCCAGACCACATGAAAACTCAGTGTGGCATAATTAGAACTTCATGGCATATTAGTAAATGAGAAACACCATTATTTAGTGAGATCCTGACAATTATGAGTCATTATGGAATCGGAGTTTAATTAGCAAGCACATCTTCTGTGTAAAAGCTTGCTAACTAAGAACTGCCTGACAATTTAAAGGGCACTTACCATTTGTGGACTGCAAGATCCCTGACCAGCCTCATACTTGCCTGTCTAGGCTGCTCCAAGATTTTGCTTCCAGGACTGCTCAGTGTTGCACAGTCTCTTCTTGAAAATCCTCGCTTTGGGATACTGCTCCTCCCGCACTTGTTTATGGCAATCTTGTCCAGATGGGATTATGGCTTTACATTAGAATGTATAGAGATTGGGGCTCAGGAGGCATCGGACTAAATAGTGAGGATTTTCAGTAAGAAGCTGCAGGGTGCTGCTCAGGCAATAGGCAGGGTTAAGTGGCTTGCCGGGAATGTTGGGGGAGGTATTGGGATCTACTTGTGGTAAGTTAATTAAATGTACACTTACCCTTTAAGTTTATGATACCATTCGCTATAACTAGTGAATATTTATTGCACTGTAATAGCAGCACATGAAGTGTTCTTCAGGACTGCTTAACCACTTCTGTTATGGGCAGACTGAGAATATTCTGTCAGGATTGTATCTTTCATTCACCTTGGAAACGCCTAGGCATCCCCAAAAGAAGCTTGGGGCTATGGCCAAGCCAACATCTAGCCTGTCAGGATTGTATCTTTCATTCAACTTGGAAACTCCTAGGCATCCCCAGCAAAAGCTAGGGTCTATGGCCAAGCCAACATCTAGCCTGTCAGGGTTGTATCCTTCATTCAACTTGGAAACTCACAGCACTGCAAAGACCTTATTGGCTACCTGGCAGGAGTTCAAATATAGATATTGAGGAGCCCAGTTAAGTTCAGGGGACAGTAGAACAAAGGAAAAATGTCAAAGGTGATATTTGAAAACCTGCTTGATTTGCCTGGTTGTATTAAAGAACTAATGTACATTTATCAAACAATTTGTAAATAATAGAGTATTTGCTGGAAATGTATTTTTAACACGTTTTTGTTTCCCCTTCTTTTCCAGTTTCTAGTGAAGATCTACATGCCAGCCTATATTTTATCAATGCATCTCTGCAAGAGGTAGTATTTGCTAGCACCACGGGGGCTCTGGTACCCTGCCCTGCAGAAGGAGTCCCTCGTGTGACGCTCAGATGGTACCTAGCAACGGGCGAGGAGATCTACGATGTCCCTGGGATCCGCCACGTCCACCCCAATGGCACTCTCCAAATTTTCCCCTTCCCTCCTTCAAGCTTTAATAACTTAATCCATGATAATACTTACTATTGCACAGCCGAAAACCCTTCAGGGAAAATCAGGAGTCAGGATGTCCACATTAAGGCCGGTGAGTAACCTGAATTATAAACTGATACTGTATTTGTACCTAAACTTTCTTAAAGTGACCCGTCATAGCGTAAAATGCACATAGGGTAACTGAATTGCAGTCAGCTTGTGCTGCTTACCAGAACCTATGCCCACCTTTAAATAGATCCCAGTTTTCCTTGTAAAGGCCCTTGGATCTTAAGCTCAGGCTATATATGGGGCCTCTACTTATCTTTAAGTTGTGATTGACCCCTTCCTGGTTGTATCCCCCAAGCCGTTCAACTCTCAAACGCTAGAGCCTGTATTGCCCGCTGCTGTAAGAAAGCTTTGATGTCACTCATATTCTGAGATGATTGGTTGAGTCTATCCACACCTAACATTCTGTTAAACCACTCTTACTAAATGACATGACTGATGGATTCGTCGATTACGCCCCTCTGCCAAAAACACACAGACTGCGCAACATAGATTTAAATGGCCACAGCAGCCTTCTTATTAACAAAACCAATGTTAACAATAACCAAAGTAATAAACAAAATAATATAAAAATAAATAATCTTAACAACTGTTGGATCCGAGAAGGGGTCTTTGGGTGCCCAACAGCCCAAATAAGGCCTCTCCTAAAAACTGCCTCCATGTCCCCAGCCGCACCCCAACCAGCTTGAGGACAGTTACTGCTCCCAAGTTCCAAGGGGCCAGGCCCCCCAACAAATACTGGCACCAACAGGGGAAGCACCCATACCAGCTGATGGCCCCCCATTTGTGTAACTGACTCAGAGTTTCAGACCCCCCTAAGACCCCCTAACCCACCAAGCTCCCCTGACATAAAAAAGGACATTGTAACCACCAGAAACCACAAAATTAAGGGCGGGTGGGACAATCTGCTTCCTCAGTCGACTTTCCAGAAAGAATGCCCCTCAGCCTTTGCAGTCTCAACCCAATGTGGCCCCTCCTGTACACCTGTCCCCAACCTCCAATCAAGTAAGATCAGCTAATTCCCATTTTATTTTAACCCCTTCTCCAGGTACTATTCCTCCCCCCAGTCATGCAGCCCCTCCACTCAGTCTCTCTGGGTCTGTCTATAATAACAAACAGAGGAGAGGCACAGGAGTAGAGCAGGCCATAAAAGTGATACTTACAAAATGCATCAACACTCTATAACTAAAGGAAAAAAGTGCTGCATCTGCTTCATCTATCCCTTACAGGTTGTGCTCATTCTACTTAAATGTCTATAGACTAAACTTTATTGCTGTTTTCACTGGGGAGAGTCCCCCTCTTTATATGTCCTGGTGACAACAGAAATTGATGGGAAATATAAAATATTACAGTTGTCACTGAAACGAGAGTAGAGGGAGAATGTCCCCCTTACTTGAGACTTTCTCTCACTTCCTGTTGCCCACCCAGGACAGGGAGTGAATATCATCATGTGCTGTAGGATGGAGGAAGTGGGGCAGATATAAGACCAGTCACCCTGCACTAGGGGAGAGAACAGCAGTGACTAGTCCATATTACCGGAAACCCGGACACACCCAGAAGTGTTGTATGATGAAGATCCTAATGGCTGCAACACCAGAAGAGTGAGAAGACTTGATTCAAAGGCGGTGGTAATAGATTTGGACTTTCTGAAGAAGGATGGACTTCCTGTTCTGTCTAACAAGTTTTCCCCTCACTTCCTGTTCTGTCTGCCTGTCAAATAGCCAGGAAGTGAGAAGAAATCTTCCAATAGGGGACACAGAGAGCTATATCCAAGACTAAAAAAAGAAACAAAATTGGGTTAAAATTATTTTTATTCGTGTTCTCTTCTTAAATACTCTGCAACCATTTTTGCTGAGCATCATGTGTGTATTTCATTGTAGTGTTACGGGAAGCCTATACGGTCCGAGTGGAAGATCAGAAAGCCATGAGAGGCAATGCAGCAGTCTTCAAGTGCATTATCTCCTCCCCAGTGGAGGCCTATGTCTCCTGGGAGAAGGACACCGTCTCACTTGTCTCAGGTAAGCGGCCATATTTATTTCTCAGTGTTGTACATGACAACGGTATACAAGGATTACCTTCTCCAAAACCCCCCGAGGATTGTGATTTGTGCAAGCTTTGGGTTATTCCTTTTGGCCTCTGGCTACCACTGCGGATGAATTGGTTTCCTTGATTAAAGTCTTCAGCCTCTTTCTAATTAAGTTTTGTCTCTCAGGGTAACTATACTTCCTGATTGTATCAGTTTGCTGCTGTGTTTGTGCTGAGCTGTTTTATTTCATATTAAGTGAAGAAGAAAAAAAGTGAATAGCGCTGTTACCTTGTGATTGAGATTGGATGCAAGTGGACCTGTCACCTGTACACAGTGGAAGCAGCTGCTTTGTCAGTTAACTCTGCCATTGTTGGAACATACTTGATTGAATTCCTGGAATTTAGTGACATTACCTATAGTATTGTCATAAATAATGATGCGTCTGTGATTCTTATTGTTTCTAATGAATTGCTAGCCTATGGTCTTATGATTCCTGGTTCAAGTCACTGAATGGCTGCCTCTTTTGTGTGTTGAGGATGGCGAATCTCATAAAACCAGACAAAGACAGGAGCTGCCATTGTCATAAGACAAATTAGTCTCGTCATACATGCACAATATGAAGGTTGAGGTCTTTGCCTTGCAAAGTAAAAACATATCCCAAGACATGCTTTGACTAAAGTAATGAGCCACTCCCAGAATTCAACAGTATAATACAGGCACCAATAGATGCATCATTGCTGCATGGTGCTATGCAGTAAGCATGTTTCGCTGGAGTCAGAATTTGAAGGACGTCTGCAGAGTAAAATGTATGCACTGTAGGTACATATAGAAATATATGAGGAGAAGCCCATAAAAACCTATCCTTTGTAGGTCTCTAACTTCACAAAAGGGGATTCCACCTAAAGTTTTTATGTTAGTAATAGGTGGAGCCGGGTGGGCTGAGTGAGCCCCTGGCTGCTTATATGTCAAGGATACCCCAACGGCAAGATCTCCCCTGCCATAATTTGATGCTTTTGGGTGTTCCTGACCATCTTTGTGTGTTCCAGATCCTCCTGTTATATTGTTCATAATATAAAATAAACATTTATCAGAGATGCTGGGAGTCCCTCATAATGGGCACAGCAGGTGTGCATATCTGGGAATCAGCACAGGGATGGTGGGAACCCCTAACGGGCACAGCAGGTGTGCAGATCTGGGCACTCCGCACAAGGCTGGTAGAAGCCTCTCATAATGGGCACAGCGGCTGTGCAGACACAGGTTCTCAGCACAAGGACAGTGGAAACCCCTCATAATGGGCACAGGAGCTGTGCAGACCCAGGAACTCAGCACGGCAATAGTGGGAACCCCTCATAATGGGTAAAGAAGGTGAGCAGACCTGGGAAATCGGCAGCGGAATGGTGGGGACCCCTCTTAATGTGCACAGCAGGTGTGCCGACCTGCAACCTATTTTCAGGGATAGTGGGGGTCCCTCATAATGTGCTTACCAGGTGTGTAGCCCTGCAACCTAATTTCAGGGATAGTGGGAGTCCCTCATAATGGGCACAGCAGCTGTGCAGACCTACGACCTTATTTCAGGAGTAGTGGAAACTCCTCATAATGGGCACAGCAGCTGTGCAGACCTACAACCTTATTTCAGGAGTAGTGGGAGTCCCTCATAATGGGCACAGCAGGTATGTTGTTGACCTGGGAACTCAGCACAGGGATGGTGGGGGAACCCCTTATAATATGCACAGCAGGTGTACAGACCTGGGGACTCAGCACCTAGAGGCAACCAAATTGAAATATAATTTGTAAATAGACTGACCCTTTAAATGGAGTTATTCATGTATGTATGTATTTATTTTGCTATGGGTGATTTCACATCATCCTTGCTTTCTTTGCCATTTTATTATGAAAGCGTGTTTGCATATATCACGTCTCTCCAACAAAACAAAGCGGCATTAGACCGCGCAAGGCGATCTTTTGTGGTTTTCAGAGACTAAATTGTGGTTTGGTGTGGTGATGGAACCTCTGGGCTTGTAATAATGTCTGGTTGCCTAGCAACAGGGTGACTTGAATTGTGTCTTGTTCTCTCACAATAGGCTCTGTGTCTAGATGAAAGCTTAATTGTATTGGATAGTGCTAGGCAATGTAATTTGCTTGGTGCAAAACTAAGATACCTGTAGCAAGCAGGGAGGGGGGCTGCAGCTTGTAGATCCACAATAAGAGGTGCACAGGGCATCTAGCTGCAATAAAAAGGATGGAACATGGCTCATGGGGCATGCTGGGACGAGTAGTTCTACAGCAGCTGGTCTACACAGCTAGTCTTATGCTGCTACGGTTGTGTTATTGTCCTTGAGTTTCCCCCCTGTACTTGCGCATTAAAGTTGAACTTCAGGTAGATGTAAAAGGCACAAATGAATGCAGCTCTGTTATTATTAATACATTATTAAATGTATTCTTTAAATACAAGCAGTGTAAATTCCTGGTATTGGCCTCTTCAAGCTTCTGTATAGCAGACCTGGAGTGTAAGGGAAAGGAGTAGTACCAGGAGTCCATCATTTCATGTTCTGACGAGAAGCAAGCTGACAGGAGAAGAGAGCAAAGTGATAGGGAGATGAGCTCATCGCGGTGCTTCTCTACTTTCACTGTCCAGTCACAAGCTGGGGACGTGTCTGCGATGACCTGGGCTCTGAATAAGTTGGCTGTATAATGCTGACCATCAGACTGATGACTTCTAGTAGCAGAAAAAACATACTGTGAGGGAAATCTCTTGATTTGAAGCTGAATATTGCAGAAAAAGCCAGTTTTGTCATTTTATCTTTTAATGGCCCATATACTTTTTATCTCGTTATTTTTGGCTGGAATTTTGCTTTAACGTGTATGTCAAGAAACATAGAATCAATACATCTCTGCAATACATGCACATTTTCCAATGTTGTGTCCCTGCAAGTACTTGTTGCCATAAATTCAGTGAGCTCCTAACTTCCCGGTTGAACTAAAAACTGCTCCACTGAAATTCCAAGCATTGTCATCTCTGCATATTGCTTATTTCTGCTACTGCCCAGCAAGGTCTGCTTATTTACTGTACCATCATTCACCCCATGTATAAACACTGAAAAATATAAGAATAAAACCTATAGGCGAAAAAAGGTTCATAAATACACTCTGATTATGTCCAGCCGTCATACTGTGGAGGGCAAGGGGGGTAATGTCACACTTCTTCAGACATAATCCCGGGGAATGACGAGTAGACCAAATCTAGTGAGGTGACGCTTGCTAGAAATACAGTGGCACCTCGGTTCACAAACGTAATTCGTTCCACGATTCTAGCCGCGAACCGAATCAATTTTCCCCATAAGGTTCAATGTAAATACGGTTAATCCGTTCTGAACTATATGTAAATTAATTACCGCTCTGCACTTTCTTTTTACCACCATGCCTGCTCTGCACTTTCTTTTTACCACCATGTCTGCTCTGCACTTTCTTTGGAACAATGCTGGATTGAATAATACTGTACAGTACTGTATGTGCTAAAGAGCACACAAAAAAACTTCACAGCAAGTGTGCACAGGTCTGTCTGCAACCGTGATCTCGAGTAGAGGAAGCCACGACCACGTGTCAGAGCGGGGAAGATGGCCGCGGTCATGTTCGTCACCCGATGCAGAGTTCGCGTACAGAAGCAAAATTTTGCCGCATTTCCTGTTCGCGAACCGAATTATTCGCGAACAGAAGGGTTCGTGAACCGAGTTATCGCTGTATTTTACTCTGCATTCCCCTCCATCTCTTCTAAAGGATCGTAATGTCACCCCTACCTACATGGTGCAGGTGGTAAATGGTGGGTAAGGGGAGTATATTTTATTATTTATTGATTTATTGCAGCATTTTGGCACGGAGGGCAAATGAAATAAGTGCACCTTGTGTTTTCAGTGCAAGGTCCACTGCAACTGTATAGCGGTTTATTTCCTGCACACCGTTTCTGGTAAATAGTTATTTAAAATATTAACGTGCTGGACATTTGGGAGGTAAAAAAAATAACAAATTGTCACAATCGTCCTACTCATGTCATTCCCATGGGGCAAAAGAAAAAAGCCTAAAGAGCTAAACCGTGTTCACAGAATTCCGCCGTATTTTGCAGTTACATTAATTATTTAGGGAAATCAGTCGGGGGCTGGAAAATACTAGACTGAGGGAAGAAACACCTCTGGATACTACTCTTTAAGGGGTTTTCTGGCTTATTTCAATACTGTCTTCGAACAAAAAAAAAAAAAGCCAAAACTGCAACTTTACAGGGTGTATATTATAAAGAAAGTTAAAGTGACAATAAACGTGGGACTTAAATCTTAAGAATACATTCAAGTACCTAAACTATTAACAGAAATGTATCTTATATGTGTATCACTCGGCTGTAGATCCTCTAATCATCTGCAAATTGGTGCTGATACTGTCCTTCCTTCTAGAGGGTGGCTACTTTTGTTCCCCGTGTGTGTTTTTAAGTAGTCACCGCTCAAAGCTCACTTTGGGGATGGTCTACAATTTCAATACAAATTAGTAAACTAAACATGAGATTGTAGACCATCACGGGAGTGAGCTTGGAGCGGTGACTACTTAAAAACACACACGGGGAACAAAAGTAGCCACCCTCTAGAAGGAAGGACAGTATCAGCACCAATTTGCAGATGATTAGAGGATCTACAGCCGAGTGATACACAAATAAGATACATTTTTGTTAATAGTTAAGGTACCTGAATGTATTATTAAGATTTAACTCCTGAGTGTATAGTCACTTTAAATTGTAAACAGATAGAAGATGAACACATTGTAATTTTTTTCTTAATTAACATGTTTCTTTATTTGTCTATGAAGTTTCTCATTTATCCAGGTCACAGGAAAACTAGTTGTTAGTAGGGATGTGGTTGGAATTTCCAGCAAACTTTTCATTACGGCCAGACGTTTCAAAACAATACGGCCAGATTGCCCACACAAACTTCTGGCTTCTATTGCAGCTGCAAG